ATGTGATCATAATTTAAATACTTGGCAACTGACTCATATTTATGATGGTTGCAAGGTTCCAGGGTCATGTGATCAGCTTTTGTGACAAGTAAAGTCAATGGGGAAGCCAGGTTCACTTAACAACCCATTTATTAACAACTACAATGATTCACTTAACTATGGCAAGAGAAATTGTAAAATGCGGCAAAACTCACTTAACAAAAGGTATCACTTAGCAACATAAATTTTGGGCTCAATTATGGTTGCAAGCTGAGGACTGTGTGTGTGTGTGTAGGAACCAATGCATGCATTTATGAATAGTTAGTACAATCTTGGTATCATGTGGAAGAAAGAAGGTAGGTAAAAGGGATTTAGTCATTGTGAATTACCTTGATAATTGCCGGAATAGGTTGTTTATTTATTAAATGAATTGTTTGCAACTTCATAGTTTAGGAATCACAAAGCATTTTAGAGAAGCTATAAAAGCATAAAATACAAATGGGAAAGGATTAAAATCATTTCCTAAAATGACATAATGACAGGGAAAGGCCAACATAATTTTAAAAGTTTATTATTAGGACCTGGCATAATATAGTGTACAGCTATGAATAACCTGGATCTCAAGTGGTTTACTTGCCTTCTGCAAAGCTTTTCAAAAGTCAAATTGATTGTTGTAAATGTAGCTGCTTCCAACATTTAAAAATAAGAAATCAAGATCAGGGATACTGGAGATCTGAACTATTTTAATAGAATTTGCAAGAAATTAAAAACAGACTAAGTTTTATAAGCATTACTCCATGCATATTAAACTTTGTTAATTTATTTATTTAATCTACATCCAGTCTTTTACAGAGGAATTTGAAGCCAGATTTCTTTGTTACTTGTTTGGACAAATTTGGAAAAATAAAAACTGGATTTCTGTTTCCTTTTAATTTACATACCATAAATATTGGCCATGCATTGTGCAAACTTTACATTTCTAACTTTTAACTATTTACAGAGTGGCTTGCAAAAGTTTGAAGTGGATTTCCTGTATTTGGTTGTAAAGACTGTTCTTACATCATGCCTCTCAATAAGTTCAGGGATTGCACGCTCACCAGCAAGATTATTGAACTACTTAATCTTTGTTCTGTGAAACAGTTTCCGGTGACTGGGCCAGTGGAGAAGATGATCATGTTGTTGGAAGAGCAGAATATGACTTCAATGCTATTTCAGAAGAAGAAATTTCTTTCCGTGCAGGTGAAATGTTAAAATTGGCACCCAAAGGTAAGATAAGTTTGTTTTAAAATAGTCCAGCATTCTCAAATTTCTGTAGAAATCAAAACAGAAAAGATATTTATCTTGTGGCTCAATTGAACAGTTAGTGAGAAATTGGAAGAAAACTTTTTTTGATCTCTTAGATGCAGAAGCACTTATTTGCAAATATTTATCAATAAAGAAGGTCCTTGTTCACATATTTTCATAGAAGTATCTGGATTTGCACTATTAAGATTTGTTCACTGACTTAGCCAATATATTAATTGGAGGCTTGAAGTTTTACTGGTAGTCAATGACTTATAACTAGTCACTTAGTGACCATTCAAAGTTACAGTGGACCTCCTCAGAGCTATTTACGACCCGGTTTCAAAATTATGACAACCAGAGGGGGGGGGGAGATGGTCACATGGTCGCATTTTCAGCATTTGGATTTTCAGCAAAAACACCCATCGGGTACAGAGGGTTTGCTTAGCAAATTGCCATGTTCGCATAAAAGTAAAATTGAGTGCAGTTGTGTAGTAACCCACTTAACTACTGGCACAATTTATGACCATAATTCCAGCCTTAATTATGCTCATAAATTGAGGATTACCTGTATATAGTTGGGCCTTTCCCATTAATTTCCTAAGATCTCTTCCAGTCCACTCATTCTGTACTCCTTCAACTACATCCCACAGATCTACTAGTTTATATCAGTTTTTTTTTCTCATATTAATATTTATTTCCATCCAGATTTATCTGGAACTAAATTCCATCCTTTCAGTGGAATATGCCCAGATAAACATGTCTAAAAGGTTAGCTAAGGATGCATTCACATTTATTTTTATTTATTAAATTTGTCTGCCACCTATTTCACCTTGAGGTAATTTTGAGTGGCTTACAGCTTACAGTGTTCACTCTAAACATAGTTTATTTATTACTGTATATTTATATACTGGCCCATCTTGCAACTGCAACTCTAGGCAACCAATACAAGATTAAAAACCAACAGAATGAAAGAATAAATAATAACAAAACAAGTGACACCTGAGAGCCATGAGACATTGTGTAAGTACAGAAAAGTCAGTGAAACTACAATGAGGGCTCATCTATCTACAATCAAACCTACCTCTAGAGCAGGGATGTCAAACTGCCGGCCCACAGGCCGGTTGCATCATGTGGAGGCTGCGCCTACCCCAGCTCTGGCAATGTGAAAAAAGTCGTGACACGTCATGTGATGCAGCGAGTTTGATCCCCGTGATCTAGAGGAACATCCATGTCTCCAGCAATTTGTGAAATGCCAGCAAGGTCAGAGCCAAATGAATTTTAAGGAGTATGATGTTTCAGACAACAGGCTACAATAGAGAAGACCCACATCCTGGTCCCTGCCAGATAGTACTGCTTAATGGATGAGTCCCAGCATGCATCCCCACCTAAGATCTGTTGAGCCAAGCAGAAACAGTAGTTGGAAAAAATGAGGTCCTGCAAATAACTAGGACCCATGCCATGAACGATTTTATAGGCAGTAACCATTACCTATGAATCAGGTTTATTCTTGTGTAAGAGGCTTGGTTTTTGTAGCAAGTGAAATTAGGTTAAAATGATGTTAGATAATTAAAGGTTTAATGTTTCTGTGACCTTAGTCATGCATGTAACATATTACATGACTATAACAGTTCTGCTTTTTTAATCTGGAAGTAGGGTTTAGCATGTTGTATGAAGCTAGCCATAGCATGTAACCTAGATCAGGGCTTTTCAACCGGTGGTATGTGGTACCAGTGGTACATTGGCACATGGCAGGTGGTACACGGCCATGCCCAGCCTAGCCAAGTGTAGTGGGGGAGGAAACGAGCCAAAGTGGCACAGTGCAGGACTTGCTGTGAAAGAGTCCTCAGGATCTGCAGGGTGGCTGGGGCGAGGCAAAGGCCCTAGGATTGGCCCCTCCGGCTCACCCAGAACAGAAAGGAGGAGGGGGGCGGAGACAGGAGAGGCTATAAAGGGAGGCAGTTTGGGCGGGAGAGGGAGAGAAAAGCTCCAACTGGAGGAGTCAGCTGGAGCTGCATTGAAGGGAAAAGAAGGGGAGAGAGGAGAGGAGATCAAGCAGGCCAGGAGCCTATCTACAACTTCTGTGGCAGCCATCCGTGGGGGGGAGGTGCACACAGGTGGCAGCGAAAACAGGCAAGAAAAGCAGCTGGGGAGGGGTCGCAATCCACGAGGAATCAAGAAAGGCAGCATCAGCTGGAGGTGAGGCCCGGAGGAAGGGAGGAAGGAGATGGCAATGAGAAAGAGGGAGGTAGAGAGCAGGAGGGAGGGAGGGAAACAGAAAGCAAGGAAGTATTGGAAGGAAAAGCCAGGGGCTTGCTTTCCAGCCAGGAGGCTATACCTTTAAGAGGGAAAAAAAAAATGAAACGCTGCCGGAGGAAGCCAGCTGCTTGAGAGGAGATGAACAACAAATTGGGAGAGTGGAAGGAGTCTTAAGTGATTTTGTGACTCTGAAGTTCTGTGCAATGTGGGCTTTGTGTTTTTAAGGAGTGTTTGGCAATTTCTATTGTGGCTGATGGCTCCTGTTGGATTTTGGAGTGAGGGGTTACTAATTCTATTGCTCTGCTATTGCTACCTGTACATTTTGCTGTAAGGGATTTTGAAATATTTTTGTCCTGAATGGATTTTTCCTGTAGCATTTGTTTACTTATGAATGGAGCCATTTGGGGAGGCTGCCTTAGTGGGCAGCCAGTACTTGCTACATTTGTTTTTGTTTTTTTGTTTTTTTAAGTGCTGGTTGCCAGCTTCTTAACTTTCCTTTCTAGCCAGTAGCTAATTCTTAAAGGGAAATGCACATTTTTAAGCTAGTTCCCTCAGCGGCTTGTCTTTTCTGTCTCTGGAGGCTTTTCCTTGTTTGATAAACATATGGAAGAGGGAAAATATGATGGGGGGATGTTTCAAATTCTTTCTCGAGAAGGAAGGAGATGGGAATGAGAAAGAGAGAGGCAGGAAAGGAGGGAGGCAGGGAAAGAGGAAGGGAGGATGGAGGAAGATTGGAATGAAAGGGAGGGAGAGTCTGAAGGAAGTCCCGCCTTAGCACTTGGCCACCAGCAGCCCTGGCATTGACTTTGCTTGTCAAAAGGTTGCAAAAGGGGATCACATGACCCTGGGACACTGTGACCATCATAAATATGAATCCGTTTCCAAGCATCCAAATATAAATCATATGATCCTGGGGATGCTGCAATGGTCATAAGTGTAAAAAATGGCATACGTCACTTCAGTGCCATTGTAACTTTGAACAGTCACTAAGCGAATTGTAAGTCGAGGACTACCTGTACTTTATCACTTTTTTCCTTTTTGGAGGGTCATCAAATTTTTGACACCTTGCTAGGTGATACTCGAATATTGTCATATCCTAAAAGTGGTACAATTGGTGAAAAGCCCTGACCTATATGATACCCCAAACTGCTGCCAGCAGTCCTCTTTATCCCAGGCCAGTGTCTTCGCCACCAGTATATTTGCTGGACTGCTAGCTGTTCCCAAATTGTTCTGCCCTGAGACCAGAGCAATTCTTAGCTAATGTGTGAAGCTATTGTTTAGGAAAATAAACCAAAATTGGCATTGATCATGGTTATGGCAGAGAATCTTAACATAATTTCAGCCATGGTCCAGAATTGGATGCTGTGCTGGAAATCCTGAAGATCTCCACCACCAGGCCGCCTGCCAATCATTTTGGTTTTTAGCTTTTCTGTTCAATCTTGTCTACTCAGTTTTTCTAATTTTAATTATTTTTTTAGTATTTTTTTACTTTTTATTATACTGTAAATTACTCAGTTGCTGTATCAAATGAAATGGGTGGCATAGAAATTTAATAAATCTTCAGACAAAAGGGGAAGGTTGGAGATTGGGAGGGGAAAGTATAGAATACAGCTAGGTCCAGCTACCTCTCACAAAGAGGCATTTACGTCTGTTTGTACTCAGCCATTGCTATATCCTGGGAGGTCAGGTTACAGAAGGAGAGGCATGGATCTTACCCACAGGTGGCAGAATCTAACCTTCCAAGGACTCTATTGGCCTCCTCAGGAGTATCTAAACTCTGCCCAAATAACTTGACAAGATTGAATCCCAGTCATCTCTACAGGACCAGCACAGTTGCAGTCCAGCTCTAAATAGATATAAACAACTTTAACCATCAGATACATAGTGTAATTTTATTGATTTGATTTGATTTATCTAATTCTCGCCACAACTCTGCAATAGATTCCTCAAACCTTCCTTATCCAGAAGGGATCAAGTAACCAGAAACAAGACTGCATTTAGGCAACAGTCCTGCATTAATATCTTTACATACAACCATTTTGCAGTGGTTGCATTTAAAAATATTCCCTAGATTATGTTTAAAAAACAAGACAACCTCTGCTTTTAAGGTCAGGCTCTTAAAAGCCATGACAAACACACAAAAAACCAATTGGGAAATGGGGGAACAAATTGGCGATGCCTGAATAAGTTTGCCAATGACAATATATCTATTTTGAATCTGGCTATATTTTTCTTAAGGATCATGGTTGTACTGCTTCTATTCCCTATTGGTTTGGTATCTTTCCCTTATTTTCTGTTCATGAGTTCAAGACTAATGCTGCTCTTCTCAAGTTCTGAACTCTATAGTTTTACAGTCGGATTAATGATACTAAGCAGTCACTAACTCAGGAGTCAGATTGGTCTTTAGCATTAAGCTCTATGAAGTAGCCATTCAGTATTGTGTACATTCAGTCATAACTAGCTGAGAGAGAGAAACCTGGAAGATAGAGGTACTATGGATGAACAGGACAGGAAACTGGGATTAAGCTTAGCTTTGCACTGCCCCCAAAAGAGCAAGTTTATAGTATGGAAGTACACCTTGATTTTCTGCTGTTGGATTATAGATGGCAAAAATGGCAAGGTACAATTCCATGCAGTTGTGCCTGGTACACATGATATACCAGCTATAGTCTCTATAGTCCAGTTGACTGTTATTCACACCTTGATTATACTATCATTTTGACTTTGACAATATACAGGTAATCCTCAACTTACAACCACAATTGAGCCCAACATTTCTGTTAAGTGAAACATTTGTTAAGTGAATTTTGCCCCATTTTATGACCTTTCTTGTCACAGTTGTTAAGTGAATCACTGAAGTTGTTAAGTTAGGAACACAGTTGTTACGTGAATCTGGTTTCCCCATTGTCAGAAGGTCACAGAAGAGGATCACATGACCCCAGGACACTGCAACCATAATAAATATGAATCAGTTCCCAAGCATCTGAATTTTGATTATGTGACCATGAAGATGCTATAATGGTCATAAATGTGAAAAATGGTCATGTTACTTTTTTCAATCACATTATAACCTTGAACAGTCACTAAATTAATTGTAAATCAAGGACTACCTGTACTACCTTTAAAATGTGTTCAAAAGGGACAATCTGTGTTAAATATGACTACTAGGTTGTTAACTGGAATAAGTTACAGGGATTCTTGTGAACTGCAGTGCACTGAATGTTCTGCACAGATTGCCAGTTTCTTTCCTAACCTTTAAAATGGGTTAGGATCTGACTATCTGAAACGACCTCTACTCCTAATAGAAATTTGGTTGTTGAGATATGTAAATGAGTCCCTTTAAGAAACACCTTCACTGTCCTTTTTGTTTAAACATTAATTTTGATAATTTAATTTTTGCTAACCATAAACATTCTTCAGATAGGTTTTTATTGCAATTTGAAAAGCTTTAGGAGAATTATATAAATCTAATTTAACTGTCTTAAGTTCTCCAATACACTTTTATTAGTTCTCTGTCATTATATATAAGAATTTTCTGGTAATTGCATGTGTTTTGTTTTTCTTACCAGAACGACAACCCAAGATGCGTGGCTGGCTTTTGGCCAGCCGTGACGGTCAAACAACAGGACTCATACCAGCTAATTATGTCCGAATACTTGGTAAAAGAAAAGGGAGAAAAACCTTAGAGATAGAGAAGATTGCAGAGCATCAATCCTCAGTCAGCAATACTTCTCTGGGTCAAGAAAGCACGACTGCTGATGCTTTGGAGGAGCAAGAGGCTGCTTTTGAGTCTGTTTTTGTGGAAACAAACAAAACCCCTGTCAAATCAAACTCTCCTCTGCTTAGTGGAAATAAAGAAGATTTTTGATGTTTGAAGTTTTATCAGAGATATTGGACTGCATTCACCAATAATACTTTAGGGTAGCCATTTGGTAGTAAGTAGCAAAACGCTAAAATTATTGACAGTATCCAGGTAATGTGCTATCTACACCTGGTAGCATCAGGCATAGGGATATTTGTCATTGGCTGTAAATCCTGTTAGGTTCATTGAACATTAGGCTGTTGGGTAAGGTATGCTAAGGGCCATTGTATGATCTCAGACATTGGTGAACTGTAGAGTCAACATATCATATTCTGATCTGAAGAAGCTGACACTAAGGCTTCAGATAGATCCTGAAGCCACTTTTTGAAGTCTAAAGAATCTACTCCATATAGTAGCATTGTGGTGAAAAACTGTTTTCAGAGGTTTTGACTGTACCTTGTATCTGTCATTTTTGTACATTTTTGTGAGATATAAGGAAAATCTCTGATTCCGGGAGATAGCAATAGGAAAACTTACAGGGTTGAAACTAATGTGCCCACTAGATAGAAACAAATATATGTAATATGCTTTTAAAAACCAGTAAAAAGTCCATCTAATTATAGTTCGACGGTATATACTGATAGATCTCTTTTTATATGCCTCATTATGAAAGCTGGGGATTTTTTTACTGCTCTATAGCATTGCATTTGAAGCCTGATGTAATCCTCTTAATTTGGATTGGAAGTTACTTGCTATATGTTAAAAGCCACATTGCCACTTGTTCTTCCAGATAAATTATGTAACAATTTCCCTCCATCATTTTACTGAAACATGTTCTGTCAAGAATACTTCACAGAGGCTCAAGCTCAGCATAAATTGGCAATATCTGTGTGCTTTAAAGTTAATTATGTCATTGTCACATGCATTCTGAGCCTAGTGATTGATAAAAATGATAAATACATGGTTTTCTGTAGTTAGTTTCTTCAGTTGCAAATGCCAACTATGTTGTTTCACTTAACATTCTGCTTAGTAAATCTGTAGTAATTGCTCTAGTAAGAATGTTGAACATGGCTTATGTATCCAAAATGTGTGAGGTGTTGTTTACAAAGCCATATTGATATGAAGATAACACTTCTGCTCATAAAAATCACATTTTATAGTACTGATAGCTTAAAATACTTTGAACTTACAATGCAACAAAATTATACATTAATTTTTTTCTCTATTTTGGAATAAATGTATTTCCAAATTGAAAAATACAAATTGATATCCTTAATTTTAAATTAAAACTCTTCTATACATATTTTATTTGCAGCTTTGCTACAAATCTTTTTTTTTTTTTAAGAATTCTAAACAGCTTTGTATCTTCAGGCAAATTACAGCACAGAACAAAGAGCTCAAATGAGTGTACCTTATGTGGAAATACATTTTTCCTCATACCTTTCATATTTAGTCAATCTGCTAAGGACCTTGAGAGAAGATTTTTTTTTGATCCCTTTCATTTAGTGAAGAAGCAATGCAGTAATTTCTAATTAAAATATTTGAATTTCTAATTTGATAAGATTAATAGCTAAAAGCCACAAAAATGAAAAACTAGGATTAGACTGAAGGTGGGTCGGACCTGAATAATCAATTGCACACATTTCTTTATTATTTACATGGTTATGGGCTTGCATGAAGTTCTGCAATGTAAATTGGTACCCCAGTTTTCCTCCAAAAACATGCTAGGAAAGTTAGGTAAAGATGTTGATATGGATCTAGTACCTAAAATCAGTTTTTCTTGCCTACTGATTGCCTAACATCTGGTGGTAAAAAGAGTAGATTCCAGATTGTAACTAACCTTCAAATCAAGGTTTAAAAGATTTGATTTTTCTGATACTTTACTATTATAAATGTGTTGAATTCTAATAAAAAGGATTATCTACTTTCAATAAAAAGTTGAATAGTCTTGAATTTGATAGGTTTCTTGGGAAGTTTACTTGAATTTACTATAATCTTTATTATATGTGAATTTACTTCAGTCTAGGGCAGGCGTGTCAAACTGCCGGCCTGCAGGCCAGTTGCATCATGCAGAGGCCGTGCCCACCCCAGCTCCGGCAATGCAAAAAAAGTTGTGATACGTCGCGACACGTCATATATAGGGAGTTCTTACAATTTATTCATTCAACCTCTGTTTGAAGTTTTGGCCGTTGCAGCCCCCCTATGGTCACATGATCAGAATTCATGAACTTGACAGCCTGCATGCGCTTATGAATGCAAGGACACTGCAACCACTCCCATCCCACTATTTCCCCCTATCTGCCCTTTTGGCTTCCTGCCACCCTGCACTCCTTACACCAGTTCACCTGTTCCACCTTCTTGTTTCTGCTGCTGACAAGGCATAGCTGGCCTAATTGCTGGGCTGCAGGGACTTGGCTTCATGTAATAAAAAGGGGGGGAGTGCAAAGCGGCCACAGCTCAAGTTGGAGTGCACCAAAATGTTCCTTTTTGCTATACGCTTGTTCTATATGGGGCTGGCCTTGGACTGCAAAAAAAGGAAGAAAAGTGCAGAGCAGCGAAAAAGGCAGAGATGGGTGAATGGGGGGAAGTTGGAGGCAATCCCTTCTCTTACTGAGGCTTGGGGATGGGAGGGGCCAAGCCCAGAATGGCTTGGATTGGGTGGGTCTCATCTAATGACCAGTAACATTTGCTTAACAACAGCAAGAGGATGGCTTGGATTGTGATCACTAAGTGATGTAGTCCCATGATGTCTTGTTTTATGACCACACTGCTTAGCGACTGAAATTCCAGTCCCAATTGTGGCTGTAATTCAAGGGCTACCTGTTTAACTAACTGCATGTCAGTGTGAATTATAACTCTGAACCATATTTCCTTTAGTGGAGCCAGAATGCAAATGTTTATAATGATTTAACCCTTAGTGAAGATTTTATCATGCATTTGGAGTAACTGTAAAATCTATTAAATTCCACTGAATTTTGAGTACAGCCTTGTTTTCTCTTAGGAATCTTACATTCACAGTAAAAGTGCAAGTAGGATATCAATTTGAAATGAAAAGCAGTCTTACAACTATGATAATGTGCTACTCTTGGTATTATGTTCCACCCATATTTTTATATTACAGTATTGGTTGCTATAATTCAATGGAACAACCTGCCTCCAGAAGCTGCTCCAGCACTGGAAGTTTTTAAGAAGAGACTGGTACAGTATTAAAATCAAACAATTGTGAAAAGTAGCAGCGAACATGTCAGTTTTAATATTCAACATGGTAAATACTGATAAATACAACTCATACAAGCAAAAGCTCTTTTGGGGTCTTCCATAATCTTTAAAAGTGGGAAAGGAGTGCATAAATTATGTGCAGTGCTCAAATCTGGACAGGGCACTGTCAGATTCTAAATATACCAATTATGATTATTTCTGAAACCATCCTGCATTTTCTTCTCTCTGTTGATACTAGGTGTAGCATATACTGTGTGGGCTGCAAAAATCTGATGACCACAAGTACAGAGCTTTGTGTATCTTTTTGCTGCTATATAGATTTTTGCAGCACAGATATGTATGGTTTGTCAAGCGGATATCATTCTGTTGTTTCTTATATTTGTCTACTTCAGTGGAACTTCCATGTATGTCTATATAAGACTGCTATTTTACTGCACAAATTTATATATCTATGCAGTACAGTGAGAGGTAAATTTGACTGGGAAAACAGATGGGGATTTAAAATTATTCTTCCTGCTTCTAGTTCAGAACCATAACCACTTCACTTTGATTTCATTGATTTATACCGAAATAAATTCCTTTTGAAAATGAAAATATTTTAACAATGAATAGGTTGGTTTTAGGATAAGCCATTCTACTATAAATCAGACATACCATAACATTTTGCATAAAAACATATTATTAAGCCATAAAAGGTTACTGCTTTTTTTATATCATCAGCACATTTATTCTAATATTCAAGATCATTGGTTGTTCACACTAATGTAGAAACTGTATGGAGGTTCCTGCCAAAGATACATTGCAATATCCAGTCCAGACTGTTTTGAGAAGTTTCTTTCTACATTAACCTGGAAGTTTACTTAGACCACCTGAAGAGTTTGCCTATGAATGACGAGCTTGCCTAGCAACAATTGGGGTCAGGCTTTCTTTGTTGCCTCCCTACTTAAGAATGCATTCCTGCCTTCTGTCTAACATCTTCATTTATATAATGAATATAGCTTTATTCATTCATAGAAGCTAAAAGAGTTTAAGAAAGCTGGAACTTAACCCTTTTTATAATATACATATGTTAATGTATACAGTACAATGGTACTTTGGTACTCAAACTGCTTTGAAACTCATTGAATTTTGTACTCTGTTTTTTGGGTACTCAATACCCAAGCTAGAACTTTTTGGTGTTGGCTGCCTTTCCTTATGGGAAAAATTTGTTTGATACTCGTTTTTCATATTAATTGGCAATTAATTGGCATTAATTGATATCACGCCTCCTGGAACCAATTAATGATGAGCACTGAGGTATCACTGTATATATTAACCACATTTTAATAATTTGCTATAAAAATTATTATTAAACTTAAGGAAAGACATTGTAAGGTTTTCCATTTAGCCTCACAATTGCCCCAGCGTTACTCAGGAATTTAAAAGAGCCAAAGAAACTCCTGAGCCGAGGTTTCAACAAAGATTACAACTTTATTTTGATCAAAACAGAGAGGGGCCGTCTGATTCCTCTTCGTGGCTGGTAGAGGAATGAAGGCAACAACCAGAAAAGATGTCTTCCACCTTTTATACCTTTCCAGAACAAAAAGATCAGGTCTTGGTACCAGGCATAAGATGGCACAAAAAAATAATTCTTAGATGATGACTCATACACAGCAACCCAGGCTCCATCCGTAACTCCTTTTCCCCCTCCCCATACTGTGCTCTTTTCATATAAGCAATCACCTGTACCTAAAGCATGAAGCCCTTATTTTTCCAATATATATATAAAGCATCTGATCAAGCAATTAACTACAAAATGATTACAAAATAAAGCAATGATTACATGATAACACTATACAGGGCTTTTTTTCTCAGAGAAAAGGTGGTGGAACTCAAACCTGGCCACGCCCTCATCAAACCCTAGGACCGCCCCTTTAGAGAACAGGAATGCAAGTAAAATTTGGGAGGGGCTATTTCCGGTGCGGCCGGCCCGGAAAAAGGTGCCGGAACGCGGTTCCGCCGCGTTCCGGCTGAAAAAAAGCCCTGACACTATAAGTATCAATATAAAATGGTTGCTATATATAAAATAAATGCTAATGTCAAACTTAAACATACTAAAATCATAAGCACAATAAAATCCCTTCAACATAGTTCATTATATAAAGATTTCATTTCACATCTTGAGGGATCGCCTTTTTTCCAGAGTCTGTACCCATTGAACCAGGTCAAATAGAATGGGCATGCTGCAGATCCCGTCAGCTGAAGAATGTTGGCTGCCAGGGACTAGAACATGAGCTTTTTCTGTAGTGGCCCCTGCTCTGTGGAACATCCTTGCTTTGGAGATTAGAATGGCCCCAACCCTATTAGCCTTTCATAAAGCTTTAAAAAACTGGCTATATTCCTGAGCCTGGGGCGCTACATACTGGCTATATTGTTAATGGGCCGGATATCTTGCTTTTATACATACTTCGGATTAAGCACTTTAATGTTTTTTACTGTTTTAATGCTTTTATTGTTTTACATTTTTTTCATTTTAATTGCAATATATGCTTTGAACTGGGAGCCGCCCAGAGTCATTTGCTGAGATGGGCAGCTATAGAAATGAAATGAAATCAATAAATATATAAAGTTATATAATATTTTAAGGAATGTGGTTATCTTGCTAAATATACATATTACAAAAACCAGATAATCTAGTTCTAAAATTATACTTCAAGACAGAGAAGAACAAGTACATTTTAACAATCTGTTCTAGAATATATATGTTCCTTTGCCGTTCCAATAAAGACAAACCAGTAGTTATTTAAGCATATATTCAGAAATAACTGCCGCTATTACTAGATCTCCATAACTAACTTGCCTATGTTAGAGCTTATTTATATCTGCAAAAAGAAGCATTTTGGATAGCTGATTCCGAAGATAAAACTGTAGTTTGCATGATAATAAAATCAGTATAGTTTACCAATGTCACAATTTCTGGTCCTTGAATTAAAAAGAGAGCAATATGCTTGTTGTAAATTCCTCTTTCTTCCTATTGTGGAACACTCAAAGCATTCTGACTTTTCTTCCTTATGAACACAAAACGCTCAGAACATTGTAGGCAGTGTCCAATTGGTAGTTAGCCAACTTATTAGAAATAATGCTGCTTTGTCCTAAGTTTGAAAACTTTTTTAGTTTTAAGCACACCCCTATTTGTCCAAATGAACAATGCTATAAAACTTTTGTTAAAACAATATTTACACTTCAGCTTGCACTTCATTTTTGTGTGGTATTTAAAAACAACATAATGTGCAAAAGGTTTTTTCTGAACAGTACTAGCTAACTGTAAGCTTACTGATCTTTTTTAATAATGAAAATTTTAAAAAATATAACAATCTAACATTTAGTAAAATTTAAATTCATACTGATAGTTGCAAAATATTTGATTTGAGAAAGGATTTTATGTGGAACTGAAATAAATGTCACATATTTAATATATAAGTACTGTATACAATATGGATATTATTATTTGTAAAAGGCTTACAAACATACATAATTATACAAGAGTTTCTCCCCCCCCCCTCTTATCTACCATTGCAGTTTGTTTTATTTCAGGGCAGATTTACTAATGCAGTTGTATATTCATGTGAACATATTATTTCTCAATAAAGATAGCTTGACAACTTTGGAAACTGATTTCTTATCATTAAAAATGAACTGATATAGAATATTATTTGTGCATGTA